AGGAAATACAAAACTGAAAGTATGAAAAATAGAGAGAAAAGGAAAGGTACATCTTTACTATCTTGCTTTACTTTACTATCTTGCTAAAGGGATTGGTCTTCTTCTTAACCAAATTTTTCCATAAGTAAACTATGGTTGAATCTGCCTGTTGGAGCACATTGCTTGTTGGCAATTACATTATCATGCAGTCCTCAAATAATTTAGAAGACCATGGCTGTATAAAACATTTCTGGTTGGGTAACTCTGAAGATGTAAGCATATTTTTAAATCCTGAACAGGTGATGAACAGCAAAAGCATATTACAGGGGGCTGCAAAGCTTGAAAACTCTGCAGATAAATAATTCTGCTGAGACTCAGTAACAAGAAAAGAACCTAGCCTGGTTTTTGTTGTTTTGTGTTTTAATTGACAAAGATTACATGGCCTGTAACTCAGCTGTTTCATCCAGTAAATTGCAGCTCTCTGGGCAGCATAACTCCTTGCAGACAGGTGGCTTAAATAGAGGAGGTAATGGAACTGTTGTGCTAAGCTACTTTTACACAAAAAACACCTTAACAAGAGCTCTGTGCCTCTGAGTCATAGTCCACCTGTTCCCAGAGGTTGATATGTGATATTTTGAGCTTCACAATTCTTGTCTTTGGCTCTGCATATGTATGGAAAGAACAGTACAGAATTCTATAATAATTTTAGGTGTGAAACTAGGATTACTATAAAGGGGGAGAAAACAGTGATATCCTTCCTTTTTTTTGGGGGGGGGGGGGGGGGGGCGGGGGGGGGGAGAATGTATTCCCAGATAAGATTCCAGTTTGTCTGCTGCCATGAAAAGAAGGCTTTTCAATAAATTAAGGGAGGGATTCCATTATGTCTATGTCTCTCTAAGCCACCTGTTGCTTCAGCTGCAAATAGATACTTACCTCTTAATAGGAATGACCGATGAAATAGGTACTATATATCATACACACGCATATATCATTTATTTAAATGCATTACATAGATGCTTATAATCTTCTGGCTCAGAGTAAAATCAACCATTGCACTACTAGAAATGCATTTTTCGGGTTCTCCACAGCAGGTTCCCAGCACAAGAACTTTGTTCCCCTCAGTGTCCGTGCTGCACTGTGTCAGCCAAAAGCTGGATCAACACAGAGGAACATTGCAGGTGTTTGTACAGGGTCTGGCACATAAGCCTCTCATATCCCCAGAGATAAGAGCCGCTGACTGGGGCTCCTTGCTGCTGCAGTTCTACAAATATAGTAACAGTGACATGGAAGGCTAACCCAGGAGCTGTTCAGCAAGAATAGCTCAGGAAATAGTAACATCTGTGATAAGACATAAAAAGAAATTCTTACTGTCTCTCAGTAGCTGGGTTCAGACCTGAAGACATGTCAAGCTGCATATGGCTGCTGAAAATTAGTGACAGTGTGGCATCCAGAGCACTTGTGTTACATATGAACAGAATTTTATTTCTCTAACAAGATTGGCTTTGCCCTGTGTTCCAGGGGAAGGAAATCTTTAGGAGAAATGTACTTAACAAGGCCCAGCTTCTCAAAAGCAAAGGGCTTCACTCATCTCTACTGTATTTGAAGGGAATTAAATGAGAATTTCAACCAGGCAGCTATCTCAACATAAACAATCATTTCTTTCTTCCAGCGAGCCAGTTAGGTGAGAAAAAGAAGTGTATGTCACCCCTCTGCCAGTTGTACAAGATGAAGGCAGAAATATAACATACTTTGAGGCTGTACCACAATCCTGCAAACCCTTGCATAGTGACATTTATCAGACCCAGCACTGTGAGCAGCATCAGACACAGTCGCTAAAGGAAGCTTCTCTGCCACAGTCAATGGGAGGCATTTGCTGCAGATAGCCTGGGGCTATCCAGCAAGGAGCAAACCCAGACCTATTCCTGTCACCCCATTTAGAGCATGGCTGGAGGCTGAAGACAGCCCTGAGGCGAAATTTCTGGAATGTTTTATCCAATACAGAGCTCTTAGTACATGGTCACAGGGCCTGCATCTCCTGTTCCTGATAGGACGTTACTCAGAGAATTACATCTTCCTCCATTTCAAAAAGCTCCAGGAGCACCGAAGCACATCAGGTTCACTCTATGACGCAGAACTAACAGGTTAAAAGTTACAGCTTACTTTTGTGTTACATTTTCAGAAAGTAAGGACAACTCTATCTGTTCCCCTGATAATTCTCACTAGGGGCATATTTGTAAATAACAGAAAAATGACCACATGAACATGTTAATGGGAGCAGTCAGCTATCAGTATAACTTGATGTGGTGTCTGCAGACACCACAGCATTGAGAACAGCAGCTGTTGCTGAGGCAAACAGCTGAAATAAAAGAGGAAGAAAGGCAGCTTGCAAACAACTGCCTTCACTGGTCCAAATGGCTCCTAATACTTTTTATGTAAAGACACACTGTTGTTAACATCTGCGTGAAGTTAATCTGAAGAGTTGTTTGCAAATAGCAAAGCTGCTAAGCACCTGCTGCTTTAGGATAGATGAACTTTTGTGGGCATGTAACATGCTATTTTATTGCCAGCAGCTCTCCCAAACACCACCCTATACAGAACAGAAATGAATGGACTTTGTGAAGGGAACTTTTGTTGAAATTGGATAGGACTATACACAAGTATTACCAGATACCAGAACAGTTTAAGAGTCTGGTTCAGAAATATTCTAGAGCCCGAGGGTGTAAGTTGTCTTAGAAGAGGAACTGAGGAAAGAAAAGTAATTGCCAGTGATTGAGATTGGTAACTTGGAGGTTCATTCATTAATAGATGTCAAAATGAATTAAAAAAAAAACAAAACATCCTGGAAGTACTTCACTTGGCTGATTTTAAGTTGCCCTTTACATCAGTGTGTCTGAGTGCAGCACAGGTCCCATCTTCCTGGCATGCAGGGAATGCAAGAAGTGAAATGTGTATTTTGCATTTCCAGTTCACTTTTGTGCTTTCTGCCCCCTTTTGAGAGTTTCCCTGAGCCACTCTCCCATAAAGAATTTCACCTCGTTTGAATTTTTGTTTGATTTCAGTAAGGTACATTAAAATGGCAAAGAAAAGAAGACTGTAGCCAGAGTTAGACTGTACCCTTCTTCCCAGCAGGTCTGTGCACCCTCTCATTAGTGAGACTTGTCTGTCTTTTCCATGCCATTTTATTTCAATGGGAGATGGTCCTACTGGAGGAGTCTACAGAGAAGTAGATGCAGATGGGAGCAGTTAAACCAGGTACTTTAGAGACCTTTATTCCTGTGATTTGTCTCAATTTTGCCTAGCCTAATGTATGATTAAAATTGTTTGCAGTTTCCAGAATGGCCCTAGATGTTGAAAATAGCATGCTACAATATCAGTTAGCTTGTGTAGCTTAACTCGGGTCTTAAACTAGACAAGATTTTCCATGCAGGAGAAAAGCTAACAACCAGGGTTACGTCTGTATTTTATTTCTGTGATTGCACAAAATTAAGAGGAAAAGTGGGAAGGGTGACAGAACCTCAGGTGTCTTTACCTTTTGGTAGTGTCTATGTTCTTAATTAGATCTAACTCAGAATCTTTTATGCTCAGTGGAGATAACCACTGACTTTGGTGGAGGGACCAGGCTTGTAAAGAAGAGAAGAAGCAGATGGTCAGCATGAGTGCAATGAATACATTTTTTTTCTTACTTTCAAAACGCACTTAAAAGGACTAGAATGTCTTAGCTGCTCAGGTCAAGAATTGAGATTTTTGAGTAGATTTGTTTTTTCATCAGTACTGCTCTAAAAGGAAAAAAGTTTCCCAGATCCTTTTCTACATCTTCAATTTCTTGAAAATAAATATGACAACAATCTCCAGTCATACAAAATCATGTCCAGACTTAACTGGTGTGTTTAAAATCCTTCCTTTTATCCATACTTTGACAAGGAAGTTCTTTCAGAGTTCTGGGAGCGAGATGACCCCCTTCCACAGATAAACCCTTCTGAGTTTTACTTCCATCTCATTGCATGGATATTCCCATACTTTAGTTGCCATTTGGGACACTGACTTTGATACACAATTCAGCAGAATTATTTTAGCCCAGAGTGTCCTGCATTGGTCTGTGATGGCCTTGAGTTTGACACTTGAAGCAAAGAGACTGCCAGAGCGACCTACCACTCTGTGTTATATGGAGAATACCCAGATAGCTTCCAGAAATTTTTTCTCTAATGCACTTTTGCAGCCTTTGCACAATTTAGGTGGCGTTCATTCCAAGTGGATGTGTGAATCTTACACGAGTTTCTGGAAAATCACAGCACTGTATTGATAGGCAGGTGGAAGCAGGAGGTATTTTTGAGGAATCAGATGTCAGTCTGGAATTTGGCAAGCGGATTTTCATCTCAGACTAAAAGTTATTAGCCACTACCACTACTGCTATTAATTGCCTTTTATAAAGCATACATAATTCATAACTGCATGTTCACACTGTGAATAGTGAGTGCCATTTCTGAGTATCTGAGTGTTTTAAAAAGCCCTGCAAATGCAATGTTCATAATTCTGGATAACCAGGGCATAGTGGATTCAGTTGCTATGGTTGCAGGCAACAGAAGGGAAAGATCTGTATTGCACCTCAGGCAGCAGTAACTGATTGTACCACTAAATCCACATTACATTCTTTTTTTAAAAAAATTACAATAATTCACAGTTCTGCTGACTCTGCTGCAAGTAACTTCACTGGCATTAACAGAGGCAGGGAACAGGAACTATAAATGGAGGGCCCAGCGAAGAAGTTGTCCCCAGCCTAAAACACTGACCTATAATAAGGAAGTATGTAAGCAGAAGCTCTGAGTTAAATGTATCCATGCAACAATGGAATGTCTCTAAAAGCAGTTGACTTTAGTCCAAGTATACCTTGACAATAAATTATAATTGGTTCCAAAAAGAGAATTGTCTCATTTGTTTACATTTGGTCAAAAAGATTTAATAACAAGAAGAGAGCTTATTCCCTTAGAAGATCTTGGATTTTTATTTTGTTTTTAAAGTATATCTGAAGAGTAAGTAAAAAAGGAGCATGTGGATCTCACCCTTTTCCTGTTATCAGTTTGGGATTACAGGCCAGGACAAGTTTTACTTTTTAAAAAACAGCTGTAGTTTCCACTCCTGTGAGATGCATGAACCAGATCGATGTTTCAGTTTAGTGGAAAGCAGAAAGAGTAGTACCATAAATGGTTAAAAATATCCTCAGAGGTCAGCTAAGCAGTATCTGTTTCCAGGATGGATTACCAGGGGCGCACTAACAACCTGTATCTCTTAACAAAGGTATTCACTTAGAGGAGCTGTGACTCCGTAAGTCGCTGTAATTTTCCCATTGTATCTGCCCACCTGTTAATATTTGCTGCTGCAATGCACAGTATCTCTGTAGCTAGCTGAACTCATCAGAACCAATCTATTTTTCTCAATAGTTCTGTTAAAAATTCCTTCTGTGCTGCAGAGAGGTAGGATCAGAGTGACACTCAGTGGCAGGATAGTAAAAGTGATTTTCAGATTGTCTTGTAACATCTATTATTAGGATGTTAGGGCAGTCTTATAAAATTTTGGTCAGATAATTATTCGTATTCTCTCTGTCTTTTTGCTAATATTCTATGTAAGAATTGTAATTCAGACCAAAATATGTACTTTTGATTATGGAAACTGAAAGAAAGATTGTGTTACTTACTTTGCCAAGGCCCCCTTTGCTCCTAACTTGTGTGCTGTGATCTCCTGCAACGGAAAAAAAAAAAAGGAAAAAAGAATTTAAGAAATTGAACTAAAAACTCAAAAATTGAATTTCAGAATCAAGAGACTTGAATCACCATAATTTTATAATCTGTGGTGTTTGAATCTTTACAGATAACTTGAACACTTCAAAGTATAGCATTTTACATTTTGAATACAATTTATCATGTTCTCTATGTATAACTGACAGTTCATGAATCTCTCAGTTATTTGTGTTGTACCAAAACATTTTCTTTATCTGGAAAAAACCGTGACATTTTCCTTTCTACGTAAGTAAACACTGGAATAAATTATGGAATAGTTAAAGATCTATTACATCAGCCCTTAGAAATGTTTAAGACAAAAATTTTAGGTGGAGTCATTCTACAGTAAGGGTAGATTGTGGGCTGTCAGTCTTTCCAGCTGTGCTTGCTCCCGTGCAGGGAAGGATTCATAGGATTATATTCAATTATGAAGCCTGAAATTGTCCTGAGCCTGTGGCTTTCTAGAGTCACCCGAACCCACAGCATTCAAGGATGTTAGTAAATAAGAGCTATTGTGATACAATGTTCCTTAAACACTGTATGTAAAGTATTTCCCTCTGTCTCAAACAGGGTCCTGTTGCATCCCCCATGTCCATGCGATCTGTTCTAACCAGCGGCTCCTGCCTTTCCCCGCCACCTCCGCCACCGCCTCCCCCGGGACCGCCGCCCATCTTCGATACGGAAACGGCAAAGGACGAAGGAACTGCGTCTCGCTCAGCCCTCTTTGCACAGCTCAACCAGGGAGAGGCAATTACCAAAGGTCAGGAGAAAAGAAATCGAATTGTGCTGCAGGAGTCAAACTACAACAAGAGCTGTTACATTTTTCAGAGCATTTCACAGCTTTCACAGCATTTTTAAAGTTACATCCTAGCAGCTCAGATCCTTCTGACGCCTGCAATGGTCCGATGGAGGAGGCTGCATACCAAAACGTCCTTTAGAAGCCACAGCACCCAAATAAGTTCAGTATACCTGACATTCACACCATTTAGAGGTATCCTTTTAATTTTAAGGCAGCCAAGCTGAGTATCTTCAGCCTCCAGAAGCTGGTCAGCCTCTTAAGTTGCAATTACAATAAAGTTTTATCCCTTTTTCTGACTCACATTGAGTGTGCAAACCTGTGTCAAAATGTCTTACATGTCAGGTGAAATAAAGCTTTTTGTATTAATATTGGAAAGTTGTAATTTAGGTATATATCTGTGAATTTAAATACATATGATTGATATATATGTGCATTTAATGCTGAAGGGATAGATCAAATATTGTCATAAGTTAGAAAAATAAACTCTGTTTTATGGATGGAAAGACATTATACCACAAGCTCTCAGAACATGCTACAGACAGAGAGGATCTAGAAGACATTGAGGGATTTTCTGTTGAACATACTAAGAGCCCATCCACAGTAGAAGAGTTTTTATATGATCTGCTAAAAGTATGTCAACAGTTGCACTTCAGGTTGTTACCCAGGTAAACCTTGAGGAAATTAAAAAAAAAAAAAAAAGTAATTTCAGAGAATGACATAACACAACTACAAACAAACTTCTCATGCTTCAATACGAGCACTTTTAGGATTGAAAAATAGACTCTTTCACAAGCACCCTTTCTTTTTGGCTTTTTAGGGCTTCGACATGTCTCTGATGACCAGAAGACTCACAAGAACCCCAGCCTACGTGCCCAAGGTCCACCTGTTCGTTCTCCAACAAAAAGCCATACTCCAAGTCCTACCTCTCCCAAGAATTCCCCACAGCAGAACCATGCCCCTGTCTTAGAGCTAGAGGGAAAGAAGTGGAGAGTGGTGAGTTCCAGTCACACCTCTGAATTTCACTTTGCACATTGCAAACCAGGAGGAGCAGTGAAACATCTTGTCTGTCATTAACATGCAACAAAACAAAGTTAAAACTAAAATGGGCTGAGTCTTCCATTTCTCTGCATTGCTACAGTTCAGCTTTTACTATTCTGTAGAATCTTAAGTAAATTAATTTGTCTCTGAGAATCATGTATTAATTCATCTCACTGGAGAATGTCAGAACCAGCATATAAATTCCTTGCAAAATCAGACAATGCCCCAGAACACCAATTAAAATCCCTTTTTGCAGGCCATTCCTGTGAATGAGAGAGAACAGTCATCACAGACCACACTCTCCAGTTTCCCTAGCCAATGGAATTATACATTTATATTTAATTGCCCATTCCATGCAAGCATGTCTTCCGTACTTAAAAGTAGAGGAGTGTTTTCCTTTTGCCCAATCTACAGATGGAAAAAGGAGATTTTTTTAAAAGTTTGGGTGTTAATTTATGTAGGCATACACCAAAGAATCTCTGAATGAAAATTGATGTGACTGTGTTGGTTAAGAGAGAGCGGAAAGAATATGCAGTTTAGTCATGCAGAAGGTTATATACACAGTCAGTGTATATTACAGTGGAGTCCAGTTTGCATAAGGTGCAGTCACCATTTGCCTGTGTAATGTTGTTACCATTCTACTACTTGGATCTCTCCTTGTGGATCCCTAGCCTTTCCTGGACATCCATGGAATTTAATTGTTCTTTTAATCCTGGTGACTTTCTTTTGTAATAGGAATATCAAGAGGATAAGAATGACCTGGTCATTAACAACACTGAACTCAAGCAAGTGGCCTATATTTTTAAGTGTAACAAATCTACACTTCAGATAAAAGGAAAAATCAACTCAATTACTATTGGTGAGTGGGTAGCTCAGCTGGGCTTCAAGTTACAATCTTGAAAAAACTGACTTATGTGATTAATAATGCATCTGAATCATTCCATTCATTTAATGATTGATTACGAAAGTAAAGTCGTAGTGCAGGACTGGGAATTTTCATAGTCAGCGTAGCATGTGTGCATGTATTTGCTTTTTTCTTGCTTTTCTTATTTATGATTGTTTTTATTTTAGACAACTGTAAAAAGTTTGGCCTTGTGTTTGACAATGTTGTGGGAATCGTGGAAGTGATCAACTCCAGGGATATTCAGATTCAGGTAAATATCCAATTGAGAGATGAAGACCAACCTAGAACAAGTGGGGAGGAAAAAACCCAACATATAGCTACAAGAGATTTTCAAAACTCACAAAGCACAACAAAAGTAAGAAGTATCTAAATAGATCTTTATATGCTTTAAATTCTGCTGATGTTTTTTAAATATGCTTGTGAAAACTATTTACTATCACTGAACAAACCTCCCGTAGCCCAGTGCCTTCTGGTTCTGGTGAAGCTGAGAGATCTGTACACTGGCAGAACTGTTACTTCTGTCCCTGATCTGCTTGCTTTCATGGTAAGCAACTCCCAGCTCTTGAATGTTCAGTGGTGCTTACAGAAGAAATTCTAGCCCTTAGCTAATTGATTTCTTAGTGCACAAGATTTTTTTCTTTTCTTACCCTATCAATGGAAATGTTCAAATAGACTGTCAAGTGCTATAACAAAAAAGTAGGTGCTGGGATTCCAAAAAATCTCCCTGGCCAGTGATGTGACACTTTATATAACTAAGTAGTGTACTTATTTGCCGTCAAAAAGCTTAATCAGAGATCATCTTTCTTATGATCCTCGTGAAAAGAAAATACATATTTTAAATCTGTAATTGCCCTCTCTACTGGGGGATACTTGTTTGTACTGCTCAAAATACACAGTCTACCTGACATTTGCAGCACTTCAGTCATCCTGTTCCACAGAGGTCTAACTACCTGCTCTAATATTGCATTGTGTCTGACACACATAGTGTAATCTCAAGAAGACACTCCAGGATATATTATTTTAAGTGAAAAAGAAATGTTAATTATTATATTAAACTGCCACTCTTAAAAATGAGGTCTTTTGCTTAAGACGCTGTGCCTGCTGTATGACGTTAAATATAGACAGTTCTGCTCCATGCTTCAGAAATAATGGTCACAGCCACCACATGGAATAGGAGCAAGATGTGGTTTTTATATTTTGAACCTTATGCAAGTGACTGACATTGCTACCAACTGTGCATTATTTTCTGAACTGTAACAATCAGTTTTTTTCATGATCACTACGTGTTTTTTTACAGCAGAGGAGGCAGTTAATTAAGGATCCCAGGCACTTATTAGAGCAGTTTTAAAATAATTGTATTATTTTAAATCATTACCTCCTAAAGTATTCATGAAAGCTGAAAAATTTGTATGTAATAAATAGCAAAGCCTCAGCTTGCTAATACTCAAATGAATTTTAAATACCTTTTATAAGAATCAAAATTCTTAGAATCAAAATTGAGCATGTTCTATGAATATTGCAGAAGGCTTCTATGCATGTCATGGAGCAGAATGGGGATCCACTTAAGAAGGCAGGATCTGGTTATATGCTATATTCTGCCTGAATCAGGCACCTCCCACAGGCCTGGCATATGCCAAGTGCTAAGCACCTCAGTTTTCTCAGTAATTTGAAGACCAGAGTTCTTCAGGTCCAAATACATGATATGTTAATGCAACAGATTTCAGTAAATTAATCTTACAGATTTTGCTATAGTAACTTCAGTGCCATATTGCTCCTCTCTCCTTTATCTCAGTGGTATATCTTTTCTTGCCAGATGTTTGCAAACATTTTTAAACACCCCTTCCTTCTGTTCTCCATTGCATAAGAACCCATTTAAGAAGAGGAACTTTAGGATGCATTGATCCACTGTGTAGCTCAGACTTCAGGATAAGGGTGGGATGCAAGAGGACAGACCACTTGGTTTACCGCCACATTTAAGGAACTGAAGTTGAAAGATATTCTTTAATTAAGTGATGGGAGACACTCTCATTAACAAGTACATCTCTGTCATGTGCTGTCACTGTTCTATGGATTAGGATAATCTCTGGTGTTTTGATGTCCAGAGTATATTGCCATCCTTGCTAGAGAGGGCAGGAGCAGGAATTTTTAATGACAAAAAGTGAGTCAGACTGTTAGCCATGAAGAAATCTTTCAATCTGTAAAACTGTAAACAAGAAAAGAT